ATTATTCAAACCCCAAAACCAGTGGTGTCGCATTTAAAATAGATCTATGGAGATCTATTTTGGAATGTAGTTGCACATATGGGCGAGGCGTGATAAAAATATCATTTAAACAGAGTTAAAATAATCAGTATTGCCAATGTTTCTATTTTCGTTTATAAAATTATTTTTCTAATCTGTCAACAGTTATATACAGGGTGTTTTATTCCGAAAGGAAATGTGGATAATTTTAATAAAAATAGATTAGTATCTATTCAACACCCCAAACATGTATGTACAACATTAATGCCACTATTAATGTACATGGAACTGAAGAATTATTTTGAAATTGATATGGTAAATAAAAAATGGTAAAAATACAGCAAACAAATAATTGCAGACAATATTACCTTTTTATGGCTGATCCAAAATGAGAACATTTCAACCTTAACTTCTTTGGCAATAACAAGTATACAGAGTGTTCATAAATAATTACAAGCCACGTGAGACCAGAAATTTTGTTTGGAACAATTTCCTTCATATTGGCAATTAAATTTATATAAGATAATAAGATTACATTAAAACATTCAGTTTCACCGACTGTGGTTAGTGTAATTATTCACAAGATATTATTCAACCAATCAGCGATAGTATTATCTCGAGCGTAGACATAACAGTTTATTACTGTTCATTGTAAACGAATCTTTAATATTGGTGACGTCAAAATTTATGGGTTTTTCGTTACCAGCATATCGATCTCAATTGAAGAACCATGAAGTTGGCAGTGTGTACCTGGTTCGGTCGCTGACGCAGCAACTCGGCATTGAAATATTTGAAAAACTTGTTCCCATATTTATTTAGCCATACCCATATACAGGTCTGGTCGCCCAGTTGAAGAACAACCGCGTGACCAAACGCGGCACAAACACAGCCGCACTGGGCGACCTGGCCATAAATTCAGTTGTCAACAAATGGCCTAGCAGTGCAGTGCATCAATTCGGAATTTGGTGTGATTCAGGTAATTTTAATTTATTATTATAGGCACCTTCTGTTAGTTACTCATGTTGCAATTGCGAAAGGGAGAAATAAGAGGGATATTTTGTTTACTAATATTATTACAACATGGCATTTTGGAGACCTTTTGAAACGGAACAAAACGAAATTTACAATCAATATAATAAAATTGTTTGAGGACATAAATAATTAAAATATGTTGTTGGTCAAATGAACAGGTAATAGAAATTTTCTACACATTATACATATAGGTACAAATTTTTTTAGCTTTAGCAGAAAACTTTTTTAGGGACGCCTATGAAAGTCATTAAATTTTATTGCTAGGCGTTTTCATACATTTTCAATTGACTTCGAAAAGAATAATACCAGTCTTGCAATATTGAGTTCTCGAGTCACGTGGTTTGTAAAAATTATGTACGAGTATATTTTTGTGTTAGAAATCTAAATGCTTCAGAGTCTCTGCTTTTATTTTTGAAATAACGATTTAGCCATAATATTAGTTGAAATGGCACTGAAAATAGGTACAGTACGAATGTACTTATAAATAATTAAATCACCTTTTTAACTTGATGTTTGTGTCAAATCGAATTGCCAATGAAATCGAAATTACGCTTTCTGGAATACATCTAAAAAAGGTGGTTTTTCTATCATATAAATGGTGTCATCTACTGTATATAAAGATGCAAGGTGTCACATACATATTGTTATTTGCCAAGTATCCAAAAAAAGTTAAAATTAGTGTTTCATATTTTGAAAAAAGTAGGTAATAATATAATATCAGATACGTTATCTGCTAATCTTTGTATGCCTCTAATACGCTCTCTATATTTATATGAAGCCAACACAGCTTTATTTTATGTAACATTTGATTATGGCAATCCGTATAGTTGACGCCAACCTAAAGATAACAGCGCAACAGCTACCAATTATTATACACCGCTGTTCCAAAGCTCGGCTAAAGCAAACTTTATCTAACCATCCATCCCACTGATACAGTGATTTGATCCAGTCGTTGATGATAACAAAAAATTAATAGAATTGCGTTCGTCTTATCAAAATAGTCGAAGTTTGTACTCAGACCGACATTGTCACATTATTTATAGTCGGAGGATCCGGAACTGTATTAAAAAGTCTTCAGACTTCAGATGGAACTTTCTGATAACACATGGTAGTATAGTATGTCTCGATTCTGGCATCTGGTTATTTTTAGGCTTAAATTCACGCATAAGGATGTGAATAATGTGATCTAAACACCGTGACGCATTATGGAGGCTACTTTATTGGCTTGTAAGAATTTCAGTTTAGTTGTTCAGTCCGTAAGTTGTGTTTACGCTCCGTCGTAGTGTATCCCGGTACAACCACAGCTTATATACATATATTCCGTGGTACAACTTTGTGATTTAGATTTTTCAAATAGATAGAAAGTGTTTAGTGACATAATAGTTCGTGTTTAAAAAGACAAAGACAAGTAAACAGGTAATTAAGTTATAGAATAGGTATTGTCTAAAGCGATTGTAGTAGTTTTGATTTAAAATTTAATAATGGATAAATATTTATTGAAGAATATCTTCCTTAATCACTTCCTATTTGAGGTGTATGTAAAAGTGTGTCAATTAGATAGTCTTTAGAAAAGTGTACGTTATTTTCTGTAGTACAGTGTAATTAATATACAAAATTAGATAGTGACGCATGTGACTAATAGTTTTAGATTGCCTTAATTACATATAGCTTTTATAATTATGTATATAAGAATTCTACGATGATGAATTGTAAAAGAAACAGTCTTTGCTATTTAGGGTTTGAAGCTTAAAACATCCTGTACATGATCAACTTAAAAATGATTTTTAAAATTAAGATTAAGATTGATTTTTTTAAATTTCTTAATACCTATGTTGCAAAAACGATTACATTTTATTACCGAAAAATAACCTTAATTGTGTTTTTCTCCATGTAAAATATATTTTCTTCTTTAGATCGTCCTCCATTTTTTTAAAATGTTTTTCAAAAGATGTGCCAAAAATAATTAGCCCTTAGATATTTGATAATTTTGTACATTTCTGGAAGTTTGCACATTAGAACAATTTTTCCAACATCTGTAAAGATAAATACACAATCAGTTCAAAAATTCCGAGAAACAAATTCAGTTTACGATTGAGGTATTTGTGTTATCCTTTCATTGCAATTAAAGTTTAGTAATCCAGAAACTTCCAGTAAAAATATCATCATTCCCTTCTTTAATATTATTTTAAGAAATTCCAATGAGACATGATAAACAGAAAAAAAAATATGGTGGGCCTCTAATAGTAAGCAAAATATTTTATAATTTTAAAAGCCTGTAACTCCAGAACAAAAAAAGATCGACCCACAACATTTGGGTCCTCCCAAAATTTGAACATAATGAAACGGAACAGCTCAATATGGTTCATAAAAATTTGGTTGCTAGGATACTTATAATCTAGCACGTTAGACATATTGCATTATTTTTACTGTATTTCTTATTATTGGAGATAGACCAATCGAACTGTAACTGCAATAAAAATAGAAAGAAGTTTCTATTCAACTATACAAAATTGTTAATCTAAAATCTATCTATACATGTATCTATACAGGGTGATTCACGAACGGTGACCAAAAACGAAACCTCGTATTCTTTGGTGAATTTTAAGGGGAGTCTTTCATATAAACTGTTTATTTAGGACGCTTCGTTAAAAAGATACAGAGTATTAAACTTAAAACAATGTTTTTAAATAATTTAAAAACTTGACAGTGAAATAATTTGAAATTGGGCACATGTGTGTATGTAAACATTGTCCAAAATCTGAGGCCTTTTCCTAAAATTTATATGCTCCAGTGGCGGAGATACAGGGTATCGATGGCATATTTTTCTAAATAAAATCAATGCTTTATGGTAACAATCATAATATTTTTGTGTTCGACTTTCAATTGTCTACAAATTACTACTCTCTTATGTTTTTCGAAAAATACCTGATTTTTGAGTAAAACGAACCTAAAACCCTTACTTAAATGATATGACAACCACTAATCATTCGGTTATTTATTCAAATAAAGAAATTAATAACATTGGTCATCATTTTAACGATTTTATTTGAGTAAATGCCCAAAAATACCTCTATTTCCACGATCCCATGCGCGACATCTATTTTGTAACGAAAATGTAATTTGTTCAAAATTTATTGTTGCTTAAATGTGATGAAAAGCATTATTTATTCTTTCCTCTAACTGCTCAGAATGTCAAAGTTGCTATCGTAGCTTACTATGTAATTTTTAACCACATTTTATTCGAATATCGAAGTGTGTTTTCAGATAGTTTTTAAGTTTTACTCGAAAATCAGGCTTTTTTCGAAAAACATAAGAGAGTAGTCATTTGTAGAAAATTGAAAGACGAATCCGAAAATATTATGAATGTTACCGTAGAGCAGTGGCGTACTATTTTATTTAGAAAAATATACCATCGATACCCTGTATCTCCGCCACTGGAGCATCTACATTTTAGGAAAAGGACTCAGATTTTGGACAATGTTTACATAAATACATATACCCCATTTCAAATTATTTACTAGTTTTTAAATTATTTAAAAAAATTAAAAACATTTTTTTAAGTTTAACACCTTGTATCTTTTTAATGAAGACCCTAGATCTCCCCTTAAAATTCACCAAAGAATACGAGCTTCCATTTTTGGACACCGTTTGTGAATCACCCTGTATATCTTTAATGATGATTATATTATTTTTTTTTTTGTTAATAGGTAGATATAACACAATTGAAAAAGTCACCTACAATTTTTATTCACACATTTTATTCTAAAACTTATGATGGACATGTAGAATTACCCTCTACTTATAGGCAATTTTTTTTTAATATATTCTATTTATAAAAATTAATATTCGATTAACAAAAATTACAATAAATGGTTAAAAAATATTAGTAGGTACTTAAAAAATAATGCACAATACAGTTAAAAAGATATGAATTATTGATTTCTTTGCAGGTGGCCGGGCTCTCAAGCCTTCCGATATGCCCTCCAACCCCAACTCATCATTCTAGAAAGTCCAGAACGCCAGAGCTTAGGCCTCCTACTTTAAAATCTACAGAACCGCCTGATTTTCCTCCAGGAGATCCAGAGACAGCGACAGTCCCAGAAACTCAAGAAGGCGATACACGACCCATCAGACTCGAAGGGTGGTGTGGAACTAGTTCTCAGGAGGTTGACTCTGAAACTCCCAGGATAAGTCTCATTGCAATGTCAGAGTTGAGAAATATCGATAAGGATTTAACAAGACCTACTCTCAGAGCCAGAGGTGAAGTGAACGGTGAGGCTAGTGGCGGGGTTCCGTTGCCTTTGCAAAGGTTGAGTACTACCAGATTGCCGTCTATTCCAGAGAGGAGCCACAGGATTTTGAGTGTGGCGGAAGTGCCTGGTGAACACGAGGAACCATTACCACCATGTAAGTGTAGATGTTTATTCCATTATATTAGAAATTCTCTAACTTTAGTCTTCTAATTAGACTCCACATCTTTAACAGAACAGAACATTTAACTTCTGATTTTTCTTTTTCACACAGAATATCTCAACTGTCTCTTTTTTAATCTGACAGTATCTACACAGACCCTATTCATCAGGCCAATATTACTCAGATGTCAGTGTCCAGTTAGTGGTCCTTCTATTATTCTATAGTTCAATAGATCTGCCTTTAACTTATTCGATAGTCTTTTTAAGAACTTGTCTCTGTGTGAGTGTTTCTTGGTACCATTTTTTGATCTTATCTTTTACCACAGTCTTTTACCCATTCCAGTTCAAGTGTTAATAATTTTTATTAGTTAGCAATGCCACAGGAAGGTTTAGTCTCCTGTAGATGAGTCTACTCTGATTACCAGCCTTCTTATTACTCCAGTCGAATTAGATCATAAAACCTAAAAATTTGAAAAAATTATTAGTAGACATTTTAATACATTTTATGACGGGGAATGGTATGTATAGAATGATAATATCAAAAAAATAACTAGAAAGAAGTGACGCTAAGTTGACAAATTGCAAATAAGTGGCAAGATTATGTATTTTTTCACTTTTTGTCCTGCCCATGAAAATCTAGATGACCTATCGGGAAATTAGTTATTTTTGTGTTGTAGGGTAGGCAATTGAATCAGTTATTTATTAACTGTAAAATAAAGGTCGAAGTGATCAACATGTGTACTGAAGCAACAATTTCACGCACACATGTTGGTCTTTGGATTGACCATCTTTTCCATAAATTTCATCAACATCCACCGCTTTTTGCAATAATAATGCGCAATTTTCGAAAACTGATTTTTCCACGTTCGATCTTTATTTTACAGTTAACAAATTGGTGAAAAATGACTTTGGGTATCTTAAATTGTATGTAATTTAATTACAATATAAAATAACTAATTTTCCGATAAGTTGTCTAAATTTTCATGGGCAGTAAAAAAAAATTAAAAAGAGCGAATACCCGAGCGGCTTTTGTCTGACTCTGGGACAATTTATTTATAACGCTGTTTTGCACATCCTGCTTTGTTTATACTTCTTTCTAGTTACTTGTTTGATATTATCATTCATATTACCCTTCCCCATCATAAAATGTAATAAAATGTCCACTAATATTTTTTTTACGTTCAAACTTTAATACGACTGGAGTATACAGGTTCGGAAAGTCCCCATGGTTCATCGGCCGTTACCTGAGAGCGATAAAGTAAGTCAGAGAAATCCGTGCGATAGACAAGGATGGTTACATTGAAGACGTTTCATAATCTGAATAGTTCTAACCCGAAACGGGCGGTGATTATTCAGATTATTAAACGTCTTCACTATAGCCATCCTTGTCTATCGCACGGATTTCTTTACTTTACTTTGTCGCTCTCATGTAAATAAAGGAAGATGGACCATGTGGATTTTCCAACCCTATATATTGCGTCAATGCTGTCATGCCCTAGTACCCAAATAACATAGTTTTGACTTCCTAGTCTTAACAAAACATCGCAACAACCCCATATCAGCCGAATTTTAAAAAGAAATCACTAATCAATATTGCAAATTCAAAGATTATTTTGTAGGGTGTTTTTATTTTATGTTTTATAAGGTAATTTCAGTGTAATCAGAACTAATAGTTAATGTGATTTTTAGTCTATTAAAATGATAATTTTTTAAGCTGTGGCAATTAACGACAATTCAACTTCATCAAGTTCTGCTTCTATTTTTAACTTTACTAATTGTATCTTTAATAATTGTAGTTTTATTGAATACCTGTAAGTTTAAATAGTATTATTCAATTGATTAAAAGTAAAAAAAATATAGGATATCATCTTAGTAAATACACTTTGAGCCCTGATAAATACTCAAAATTTTGTCATGGAGATTCTTTCAAGCATGTTGCTTAAAAGTAATAGCAAGCAACATGCTTAGAGTTTTCTTTGTAACAAAATTATCTCTGTATTATCAATTTATTTTTTGACAAATACAATCATTAAATTAAGTATCAAGACAGATCTATTTTGTATTTGATTACATTTATGGTGACAATATCAGTGATTCTTTTTTATCGCATTGTGTTAATTCTGTGTTCATCATTTTTAGTGTATACTACTTGTTCGCTAATTTCGTTAAAAAAAATAGCAACAAAGTAAGTATTTTGACAATAACCCAATAAATCAATCAAGAAATTGTGCAAGTTATATTGGTACATGTAGATAACACATAAATTTAGTCATCGGACAATTTTGGAGAGTTTTACTGAGTATTCAATATTATAGTAAAAGTTGCAAAATTTTTAAAATGGGAAAACTTGTTCTTTCTGTTGTAAATAAACAATCTTAGCAAATATTTCAACACGCATCTTACTATACTGGATTATTCTTTATCTTTCTTATCTATATTGTATCTAGTGTAAGATAACCATACCTTAGAATTTTCATTTTTGTCTTTTATATTTGTTGAATATTTGCCACCTTGGCTTGTACAAACATACACACACAATTAAAATAATGACAGAGATAAAATTTGTCATTTTTTTTAGCCTGGGAAGCGAGAATGGACAGCCACGGTAGGGTATTCTACATTGACCATGCCACTCGTACCACATCATGGACGAGGCCAGGTGGAAATTCTAGTACAAGCCCCAACGGTGCAGGGGCAGAACAGCACCGCAGACAGTTAGACAGAAGGTACCAAAGTATACGAAGGACGATTAGTTCCAACAGGATAGACCTACCAGACTTTTCGTCCGCACCTCCCGGCTGCAAGCTGCTTACCAGGCCCGATTTTTTCACAATACTTCATATGAACCAGGTAAAGGAATCAAATTTTTACTAGATCAGATTGTAATCACATTTGGAAATTTAATGACGGTCTAAGGCAATATCAGTGTTCGTATACAACTCACCTCAGCTCCTCTCGTTTCAGCCTATGAACCTAACTATTTTAGCATTAACCAAATCCGTTCTGCTAATGGTTGTCATAATTTTGTTTCATGTGATCTTGCCATAATAAAAAAAACTATCTTCTACATGTTCTATTTTATAGATGTGTAGGAAGGGTGTATAATTGTTTTTTTTTTCACAGCATTTAAGCTTTTGTCTACATCGCTACTGGGCACCCCCAAACTCGATTATATGTGCACGCTTATCAGTGTTGCTTGTTTCCTTTTTAAACTAACTTTATGAAGTTAACGAAGTAGCAGAGAACAAAAATACAATTAAAAGTAGTTTTGTAAAAACAGAATGTTCTCGCATGATTGCGACATTTTCGAATATATTTAAAAATGAATTATTAAATATTAACTAATATTGTGAATAGCCATACGTTATTAATTTTAAATAAAAATAATTTGTTTAGAAATATTTATTTTTGCTGTTTTATACATAGAAAATAAGTAAAAATACTTGCTAATGTGATAAATTTGAAATATTTTTCACAATCATTTAGAATTTTTAAAATAAAGTGCTTGTTACTATTTTTTTTAAAGCACTGTGATTCATTTCTGAATCGCACAGAGCAAAAAACAAACAGTTAACGTTAATTTTGGAAAAAAATATTCCTCTTATTTCTCCCTTTCGCAATTGTAATATGAATGATTGATAGAATAATTGCCTATAATAAATTAAAATTACCTGAATCACACCAAATTCCGCATTGTTACACTGCACTACTGCTGGGCAATTTATCAACCACTTGCCAACTGCCGAGATTTATTGCCCAGTAGCCCAATGCAGCTGTGCTTGTTTTCCTTTGCCCATGCTCGCATTCTTCAACTGGGCGTATACATTTCTACCTCCTCCACGTTTAGTTGGACCAGACCTGTATATGGTTATGGCTAAATAAATATGGGAACAGGTTTTTCAAATATTTCAATACCGAGTTGCTGCGTCAGCGACCGAACCTGGTACATTCTGTCAATCTCTCGTGGTTCTTCAATCCATATCGGAAAGACTATAACTTCCAATTGGATATGCTCTCATGATAAATGAAGTTAATTTAGCTTGTCCGGGCAACAAGATACGAAAATTACCAAATAAAAAAGGTAAAAAAACAACAGTTTTCGTCACAGAATTTGAAACGAGGAAGTTATGATGTCTTTCTAAATGTAGCTTCTAAATATGATTCCCATTCAAAGTTACACCCTGTATTTTTTTAACATTTGAGTGTTTTATATTTGTATTATATTGAATCATGTTGCAGGCACAATTTGAAAATTTCTATTTGTATTGCCAATGTCAAATCAAATTAGTATTCCTCTAGCTTTATACAGTGGAAGAAGAAAGTGTCGATTGTCTAATGTCAAAAATGGTCAACTTCTTTAAGCGTCAACATGAATTAGACACAAGCAATATTTTTTTTAGTTGTGCTGTTAGTATCTTTTTTATTGCGTTACTTTTAACTATTGATTTATTGATTTTAAATATTCCATTCTATTGATGAATTCCATTAATATTCCATTTTATAATTAACACCAAATAACTAAACCATTATACTGGTACTCTTGACAATTCTGTTTTTTTTTTTCATTTAAAATCTTCATATTTTTTAACCACACTTTCTAATTTATTAGTCTTCACTTTGATATACCCTGTATACAAGTCAAGACAGTTTATTACATTACTTTTCATGGTGTGCTTTATTAATGATTTCGTTATAAATTAAATAATGTAAGACACTTGTGTAGTGTGTATACAATTAAATAAACAAATAGAAGAAATAGTGAAATGAACTATATATGAAAATATAACAAACATCTATAAACAGAATTTTTACTACAAAAAAAATCCAAAAATGTAATTATTTCAATTTTTTCTTCAGTTCTTTTTATTTTATTCGCTTACTTGATTATTTCTAATACATATTAATTAATTAACTAATTATTTATTAATTATATTATAATATCATATATTATATTAATTAATAATTATTAATAATTATTTATTTAATAATTAATTAATTAATTTTTATTAATAATTATTATTAATTGGGGTAATTAATTGAAGGTAATTATTTATTTGCGATATTTTTTAATATTCTTATTATCTTATATGTATTTTTGACATACTGAAAAAAAGAAAATAATAATAACAAAATCTGGAATCGAAAGGATGAGTCTACAGAATGATTTTATAAACATATCGTTTTGTCCTACCAAAAGTATTATTATTATGATAGCCAGGAAGTTTTTTAAATTGTTTTCTACATATTCAAAAGTTTTAAGTACTAAAAATCACTGAAAGTTATATATGTGACTATTTTTTTATCTTGTATTCCATAAAGACAAAATACGATACAATACGATGATGAAATAAGTAGTAATAGAATAAATGGAGTATTGATACAGTGCGTCCCAAAAGTAACGCAAAAAATTTATATTTTATTTTCACAAAAATGCTAAAACATGTCAATTACTAAATAGGAATTGTCAGTTTGTCACCTGTCAAAGTAAAGTAGGCCAAACCGACGCATTTCCTATGAAAAGTGCCATCCCTTTATGCTTAAAAAATTAGGCAGTGCTATTTAAAAAAATTGTTGATGACGTCATAGGTTTATGAAACAGAGCGCAAAAAAGGTTTAAGCATCGTGACAAAACAACAATTCCTATGTAGTAAAACTCAGCACAAAATAAAATACGGATTTTTTGCGTTACATCTGGGATGCACTGTATATCCACTGGAACATAGACAAACTATATACCTCATATGGCTTTGTCATTTTGATTACTTAAAAAGAAGCAGAAATACCCAGTCAAATAAAAGAGTACTTCTATCGCCCTTTTTCATAAAATTGTAAATGTAGTAATCAATTATGTAATTGTACATTCTAAATGATTTTGAAAACAATCGGAATTTACAACTAATTAATTTGTATCGTGATTATAATCGGTGAAAGTTCCTGAATTCAAAGTTTACAATAATGACAGAACATATGATTATATTGTTCAAATATTACGTTATAGTTATCTATAATCTGTTAGTAAAAACACATGATTAATTGTTTTACAACATTATCTGTAGTAAATATGAAGTGTCGATATAATTACAGAGAAAATAACAAATTTAAATTTTTATTGCTAGTTTTATTGTATGAATATCCCCAAGGAAATATATTAATAAAATTATCTTAAAGTACCAATTCTTTTGCTGTTTACAGTTTGTGATGATAAAACCCTGAAATAAAATCTCAGATAACTTATTATTAGATGTTTTCCCTAGAAAATTTTACGGTTTGTCATATTTATACACTGTTGAGTCTTGGGAATTAGAGGATTTTTTTTGTCAACAAGAAATTGAATTATAAGTATTGAAGAATCTAATATAATTTTTTAGACAAGGGTACCTTTTTTAATGTGTAATATTTTGCCTAAATTATATTTTTAATAAACTGATTTGTTAACAGCTCTAACTGATCACAGTGTAAGAATTGTCAATTTGTTGCAGGACGCCCTATCCTTGTACAACAGAAACCCAACCCTAAAACACATGATTGTAAGAATTCGAAGGGACCCAAACGTGTTTGAGAAATACCAGCACAACAAAGAATTAGTCGCTCTAGTCAATATGTTCGCGGACCCGACCCAAGAGTTGCCTAGTGGATGGGATACCAAAAAAGATAGAAACGCAAAGGTAGGAAAAGCGCAGATGATGACAGTGCTGATGATAATTTTTGCTGCTAACTGTGAATAACACTAGGAATAACGCTACTAACAACTAACTTTTCATCCTTCAGCAATTCTTCATTGACCACACTCACAAGAAAACTACCTATATGGACCCGAGGATACCCACGGACCCGACCTTCGTTAGAAGGGTATCGGATGAGGGTCAAGTAAGTACGCCTTTGGAAAACATAAAAATCAATCAGCGTTTTCGTTTATTGCTGATATTTAAGGTATGATGGTTTTTTGGATTGTTATGCTGTGTCCTATTTATCTGGTTGTAGGCAGGTATAGAGTTAGATTACGCTACCTTAGCTTTAGCTAGGAATATTTTACCTGCTCCTGTTGTTCTCGACCTACAGCCCCTTCTCTTCTCCTCACCCTTGTCTCCACAGAGCCTAGCTCGAGAACAAAGCCAGGTCAAATATTCCTAATTGGCACTAAGGAAGTGCATTGTAAGTCCATAACTGACGGTAACCAGGTACATAGGATTCGACATAAGAACCTGAAAATCATAGTACTTTGAATATAGAATTTTTATTTAACATTTTACCTCTTACCGTGTAGTGCAGCTTGTAACATATAATCTGTACCTACAAATTTATTTTAATGCTTATTAATATCATAACATAATTTCTAAGGCAGGATGTCAGATCTACAGTTTTCAGCAAGATTCCCTAAAAGAGGAGAACAGAAATTAATTTATTTTTAAGTATTGATATTTCTTGTTAGTTCATATATCCCCAATGTTAATATATTTTGTATTTATTCTTCTTCTTCTTCTTCTTCTAGTGGTTGGTCCTAATAAGTCCCATAGCACTGCAGCCTAATTAGGCCTATTGTGCGTCCCACTACTAGTCCTATTCAGCAAGTAGATTTGTCCTTTTTACAAAGTCCAAAAGCTTCCTTGCTGACACTTCTCTCAGTTCCTTGGGTTCCAAATAGGGTCTCCCAAGGAGCGCCATTCTGCTACGTGCAACTCGCCCAAGATATGCAGAGAAGTTTAATCCGCCGATTCACATCCTCGGCAGACCGGACTGTCTACAAGCTTTAGCTTATGTAGATGTTTCCTAAAGTGACAGTGTCCCGTTATGAGTCCTGTCACTCTCCTGAGCCGGATTCTGTTCAAGCTCAGTAGATCACTCGCTCTTTCCTTCGAAGGATACTCCATGAGCTCCTTAGAATGGCTATGTCCTGGCCTTGAAGTCCAGTATTTCCTGTGTTCTGTCTCAGTCCATTTGCCCAGAGCCCGCTTGACCACACTGGGAGATGTGCCACAGAAGGGCCCCGGGCCAATGAACTCTGTTTCGGATCCCTTCCTAGCAAGTTCATCCGCTTTCTCATTTCCACAAATGCCTTTGTGCCCTGGCACCCAACACAGGCTGACTGTATTGTTGGTGGCCAGTTCAGTCAGCATTTGTAAACAATCCCACACCAGTTTTGAACTTACCTTATGTGCGGCTAAAGCTTTAATTGCAGCTTGACTATCAGAATATATATATGAGTTTACGTCTATAACCTCTACATACATTCTCTGCCAGACACGCCATTATCACGAAGATTTCTGCATTTCTGTATTTATTAGTATAATATTTACAAACTTGGAGAGGATATTTATTGCAAATAAAATAATTTATTTAATACTGCTGACTTACCTTACCACATTGATATGATGAACATATTTTTAGAACTGCTGACTATACGGATAGCTCTGCTGTTGATTACAAGTCTTGGTTCGTGCCTCTATTTGGAATTCAATGTACATAAAAATGTGCAGCCCATTTATTCGTTGTTACTGCATTGGTGGATTATTTTAGTATGTTTTTTTTTGCGCTTGTTAATACCACACCGCAGGTTCACTTCCAAAAAAATAACACTGAAACATTTGTTGACACCAAAGTAAAATTAATGATTACTTAAAACTGAACTAGCATTTTCTGAACAAAAAAAACAATGGACAATACATTATTTACAGTCGCAGCTATTCGCCTTTTTTATGTATTACTAGCGGCCCGTCCCGGCTTTGCACGGGTGGACATTTATTTTAAACATTTTGGGATATAAAAAATATAGCCTATGTTACTCAGGGATAATGTAGCATTCTAATGGTGAAAGAATTATCGAAATCCATCCAGTAGTTTTTGAGTTTATTCGTAACACACATACATACATACAAAAATACAAATCTTTCCTCTTTATAATATTAGTATAGATGTAAGTCTGGGATGATTCCAGAAGTTCTCAATAAGTTTTAACAATTTTAATTATTGCAAATAAAAAAACATAAAACACACCACAGAAATGTTATTATTTATGCATTCTACTTAACATTAAAAAATCATCTCCAAACTTGTAAATAAGAAGTAATATCCAATTTCTTTCTCCAACTGAACTGTACTAAGGATTCGGCCTATTTCTAACTAAATAATTTGTTAACTAATAACCTGCTTTGTTTTTTCTTAATGGAATGTTTTGTGAATGATCATAGGAAGAGTTTGATGATAGATAAGTTTGTAGTTTGAGAAGTATTTGATTTAATTTAGTCACTGTCACAGGAGTACATTTGTAGTTTCTTTTACCTGTGTGCAGAACTTTAGTTGGCCTCCCTTTATTATATTGGCGTATATGTATTTCACACAGTGTTTTGTTTCCTGCACTGTCACCAATCACAAAGTGATAAGTTATCAGAGCTGCTTAAAAAGTTGCTGGTCAAAATTCCTGGATATACAGGACAATCAGTGAATTTTAACGAAAACCGTTGACGGGAAATAATTTATTTTAGGTATGAACCATCTACAACTGAATATTAACAGATTTTTGAAGTCATTACTCCAAAATTCCAAGTAGATATTGGGAAAATTCTCATTTTTTATAGTACTCATAGAGTTTACTTTGTATGTTTTTTCAATCATATAACAAATCACATAGCTAGCCAAAACATTTGTTTGATTTTTTTTTTTACACTATTCAAATTTTAAATTAAGAATAAGATTCTTATAACACAATTTTGTCATCAGATTTAAAGAATAAAGCACTTAATCATTGACAGCTGCTGAAAGTCAGATTTTAAAAAAGAGAGTGGCTTTTTTTTGAAGTGATGATTCTAGGCCCACATAGAGAACTTTCAACAAAAAGTTTCCAAATAAATAAAAATAAAATAGGGGTCGCTGACCCTGAGAACTTAAACAAAGTTGCATATCCAGGGTGACTCATTAACAATGGGAAAATCGAAAACTGAAGATACTACTTGTGAAATGGTGACAAATAAGATGCAATAAGATGTTGCAATTTCAGCGTTGCTCATAGAGGGCGCCACTTACTACCAATTTTACCGAAAATTTAGCTAATAACTTTTTACCCTATATGTCTAATATGAAACTCGATTCAAAACCTGAAAGAGCAATCATTTTTCCATTAATTATGTATTCTTGTTTCATTTTGGTATATTGATCCGTTTTCGAGAAAAATCGATTTAATGAACACTATGTTTTGATAATATGAGAAATTAAAAGCGAAACAAACCAAGTGAAGTATCCACCGTTGACACTTATACACTTTACACAACGTTTTCTGAGAGATCTTCGAGTTTGAAACAACATATTAAGATTGCGTCTGACTTCGTTGGCAACAATTTGTATTCTTTGCCACAACTTTTCACATGAACCAATAGATTCTTTAATTCGAGACCAAATAGAAAAATAAAGAGGATTGAAGTCCGGACTTCTGGGTGGCCATGCAAAAATGCTTCTACGGCTTTAAGAAATTATTTAAGAAGAGATGTGGTTCATGCACGACGGAGCTCCACCGCATTTTTCTCGGCCAGTGCGTGCATATTTAGATACAGTTTTTTCAAATCGCTAGATTGGCCATGTAAGCGTTTTTACTTGGCCACCCAGAAGTGCGGACTTCAATCCTCTCGATTTTTCTGTTTAGTCTCAAATGAAAGATATAGTTTACAAAGAATCTATTGGCTCGCTCATAATTACGTATTTTATTTGTTTTATGGTTAATTGTTGTAATAACACGAAGAAACACTTGGTTTGTTTTGCTTTTAATTTCTCGTATTATCAAAACATAGTGTTCGTTAAATCGATTTTTCTCGAAAACGGATCGAGACACCGAAATGAAACAAGAATTCATAATTAATGGAAAAATGATTGCTCTTTCAGGTTTTAAATCAAGTTTCATGTTAGACATACAGGGTAAAATGTTATTAACTGAATTTTCGGTATCTGTAAAATAGGTGCCAAACTTATAGTGACAATAAAAAATAGTAGATGGCACTATAATGTGTACAGTGGCTTCGCTGTAAGTAAATAAAGCGAAAGAGTAATTGTTGGAATATGAAGAATTTTATGTTTCAAGTGCTACTGGTTTAATTGGTGACATGTAAATCTTTATTGGGTCTTTCTATAACTACATGATACATCTTCAGTTCTTTTTGTTTAACAAATTACAGCGATGTCTTTTGTTTCAGGCCCCGATACCACCTCCTAGACCTGCGACAACCACCAACCTTGTATCCAACTGCGTCCCAGATGTTCCTGTAGCCTACAACGACAAAGTCGTCGCTTTCCTTAGACAACCAAATATATTCGATATCTTACGAGAAAGGCACCCACCAGTTGGGAATTCATCTTCACTCAGGGATAAGATTAATGCTGTGAGGGTAGATGGTACTAGTGCCCTGGATCGCTTGAGTCATGATGTGCACCTCACGATTCTTCTTAGGTAAGTCTATTTATTTTATGCATGTGTGTAAAAGGTAGATGTTCTTAAAAGATGTGTAATAAAGATGAGGCTGTCAATTTATTACCTATTATTTATTATTTTTCAATAAGGAAATTTGAAAATTATTTTCACCTATACATTTTTAGTTAAAAATTACTTTATAGTCAATATTAGGAAATGTTAATTACATTATCAAAACATTGCTTGTGTCCAACCTACTGCAGCTCCTCGGCAAATGTTCAAAATTATCGATTGTGGTTTGATGGCTCTATTAAGGGTAAATTGAAAATATCCGTCATTTCCGTTGCTGAAGCCACATTACATCTAGTAAACAGTTAAAATCATTTAGCAATGATGTTTCTGGCTTTAATCAGCAGAGTAGTTGTTTCCGCAATATCGTTATTTGAAAACTTTATTTTATCTAGTGAAAGTCTTGCTTTCAAAATACCTACAAATTAGTAGATTGCCCTGTCTCAAAATGTAAACCGCAGAATATTATACAGTGTGTCTTAACTTCAAAAATAGTTTTTGTTCTATGCACTTTCCCAACATTAGAAATTTATCCAAAGACAAGTAGATCAAATTTTAAGGTTATTGGGGTAGATCATTTGTACTTACTGGATAGGTCTAGTATACTATATCCAAGATAGGCAACCACATATACGTATTTGGTTTAAAAACAACATAATGTAGTTTACGATTAATTATTATTTCAGAGATTATTTTATTATTAGTAAACAATAAAACAAATCATTCATTTTTACATAGGTAATATTTTCGTTAATGGAATAAAATAATTTAGGCTACATTTAATGCAAAAAAATTTAAGCTGCATTTCATGTAAAAAAATTGTACAATATTTGTGTGTAGTAGATCCATCGGGAAGGTCGTTACAGAAACTACACACAGTATTTTCTTTAAAAATGACACAAAAAACATAAACAACAGCGCTTTTTGCAGCATCTATACTTAATCTCGCATCTATCTCACTTCTTAAAACTAACCTAAGAACACCAAAACACCTGACCCCAAGATCTCCTCTTGCAATTTTTTATCTATTCAAACAATAATAAATAGTATTTCTTGCAAAATTGTTTAAATTCCAGCTATAAAACAAAATAATACCAATGAACGAAATTGTTATATTCAAAGCCGGATTAACCTATGGTGAGGCCCGGGGCTCATGATATTGAATTTCAGAACACACACACTGATTTAATTCCAAACAAAAAGAAATATTACCAGATCTTGCTGAGGTCCCCTGATCTCGTAGCCCGGGCCCACAGCCCCGTAGCTCCCCCTTAATCCGGCCCTGGCTATATTCCAAAAAATTTAAATTTGTTTTGCCTTCCTTGTCAGATTTCTAGATTTTTAAAATACATAAATATTTTTTAAATAGAAAAATACCCTGAATTTTTAATATTTGACATTAAGAATATAATTTTTTCACTTGAAAAAAAAACTTGAAACAAATTAAGTATAGTTTTTAGAAATTAAGTTTTTAAATTTTAGAATTTTTTTATATAAGTCCTAAAAATGTCCTATGAGATGAAACGAATTCAGAAAATTTTTATTAAATTTCCACTAAGTCGAAAATGTATATTTACCTCTCCTTTTTTGATGGACACAGTAATTATTAGTAACATTATTGTCAATACATTGGGTGGTCTCAATGACCCTAATATTCCCAATTAACAATATATAATAAATAACAGTACATTTGTTAATAATAAAATTGTTATGTACATACTATACATATGCGAAAAATTTAAAATATTAGAATAGGTACATAATCTCCTCTTCATTAATAAAAAATATATAATATTTATTTACAAGCTTTTATTTAACTTGCGTTATTAATATGGGTCAATCTTGCAACTGAATTTTGAAAACAGTTATCTTCAACCAATTGAGTTGAAATTTTGCATACATGTTTACTTTGGATGACAATGCATGGTTGTTAGCTTATATGGCAGACCAGTTATTTTTTATGCACCCCTGTGATATGGGTATCAAATGTAAGGGTTTGCTGACAAGAATCCGAACATAAAATGATGTCACTAAAAGCTTGTTTACAAAAAAATTTACATGAACTTATATTTGGTTAAACTATTAAACAATGACTTGTACATACACATAGCTATTACGGTACAGATATTCCCAGTGAAGGTTCTTGACTTCAATACCAAAGGGGGTGGAAAAAATGTAGGTACAAATTAATGAAAAAAAAATAAAATAAAATATAATATAATTGGATAGTTTTATTTTCAGTACTATTGAAATATAAAATAAGTGTGCACAACACTATAGTGAAAGTCCATTTTTCTGCTTTTGTCCGAAATAAACCTTTCAATAATTTCTTCATTATTTGGTAATTTTCGCACTATTGATTTTTCAGTGGATTGCAAATGTCTTTACAATCTAATATCTAACTTAAATTTTTACAATCTTTTAAAAGACACACAAGAAATAATACGTAGATAACAAAATTTTACCACATCTAAACAAATTAGGTAGGTACCTTTAATAAGAAAAATAGCGGCAAATAGCAAATATTACGTTGCGGGCGAACTAAACAGCGCCCAAACTGTATAGTAAATGCGCTACTCCCACTCCATCTTTCATGGCAGCGTAACAGTAATCATGACCACCGTTGTAAACACTTTACAGATTTAGGGGCGAGCTACGAGGAGCCCAGTATTCAGTGTTTTTCAAATGAATTTTGCAAGTCGAGTTAAATTGACTGCACGTTACAAATTTAACATTTCCTTTTTAAAGTGTTTCATAAGATTTCTAGGGGGGCGCAGCGCCCCAAAGTCTCTGCACTAGCCGCCACTGGATATTTCTTTTATATTTACTATTGTACATATATTGGATTATTACTAAATCCCCAGGGGTTGGCAACTGCCCCAACTTGCCCCCCTCTCCCCAAACGCCCATGCCATAAGCGTAGTGTCAGATAACGATTATTAGTTGCTAAGCAACCAGTAGGCAGAAAAACCTTCAAATAACACATAAGTTTTTGGTACATTCTTTTGGCCATATCTGCCATACTATTAAACATCAATCTCTTCATCAAAGCAATAATATATAGAAATTCTCAAGTGTTCTATAAAAAAACGGAATTGATATTTCTAAAATGTATTGCTGAATTAGAAAAAAATAAACGAATTCCTTCTGATATCTTCAAAGACGCTGCATTCGAATCTAACATGCATATTGCCGCATGAAGATCCTGCCCTTTTTTAAAACTTATTTTCCTTCTCTTTCAAATAATACTTTTTCATTAAGGCATTGTTATAATATATACAGGGTGATTCAGAACTTATCCAAAAAAAAAATTCTGGATGTACAGTGGACCCTTACAAATACAATTTTGTAAAGAAAAAATCAAAAAGGTCGGTTCGAAATTGATTTAAAAATACACTTCTGCACGGCACTGGAAACTGGTCCAGTGTAAAACCTGACCTAGCACAATGCGACCGTCATGGCGGTGTGATAAAAACGGACAAACACTTTCGCAAGGAAAGAAATATGTAAATAGAATTTTATCGCACCTATTTTATATCGGCAAATTCAACTGCTTATGCCGTTATTAATTAATAAAATTAATTTGTGTTTTTAAATAATAAAATCATTTGACATACCCGATGCTGCAACAGCAATTGTTCAAAATTTTATCCACTCACGTGTAAACACATTTGGGTCCGTCTTACTCACTTTCTACGAACTAACACAAATGATATCTTGCTTCACCATAACACAAATACTTCACCATAATACAAATGTTGTCTTGCTTCACCATAAATTAAAACGATATATCAACTCTGAGTTGCTATACACGCAAGCCATTTTTGACACTAACTACTAAAAAACTGATGTAAATAACACAGATAACAGGTAAAAACTACCGCAACGACGGATTTCAGTATTAGGAGTCACATGGCTCTCCACGCGTAATGCGAATGACGCTAGAGACTACAGTTGTCCAGCTATGTAGTGGTTTAATGTGCTATAACTTCAATAATTTTTTTCTCAGAAACTAAGGATTTTACAAAAAATTTTTTTACAATATTGACTCCATTTCTCATGCCGCATCTATTCCCAATTTTTTTTGGATAAGTTGTGAATCACCCTGTATGTACATTAACTGACCTATTACTTAAATTGCGTTAGTAGTCGTTTTCTTAATATTTTAGTAACTGGTGGAAATTTTCTCATGCTTCAGTTTTTAAGTCATCTTTATTATTAATGCAATACTGAAATATTTACTTTTACATTCCACGGAACTTCTTGAATTATATTTATAGAAATCAAATAATCCGTTCCCGTTTATCAGTTACTTTGCACCAGGAATAAGCACTTCTAGAATAAGATCGCAAAAATGAAAATATCCCAATAAGCAAAGCAATAGTTGTTTGTTTGCCAACATTATTTTTAAAACGACATAAAACACATTTTTATCAGCAAAACGTATTGCATAAGCATACCGATCATTGGTAACAGCTAAAAATTATTTGTGCAACAATTATTACTATCTTTCGCGATAGGCGAAAGTGTGATAGTGTCAGAAACGAACGTTAATAATACATTTTGTTATCTACCCTAAATCTATAAACTATCATGTCCAGGTGCCAGTTCCAGCTTGTTCCATATTTTAATTATTAAAGTTAGGAGTTAAAAAACTGTTTCATTATTCACTTGGTTGAAATTCAAAATGTATTACATTTTTTTTAAGAGGTAATATGTTTAATGGATTTTGTATACATAACTACATTTTACGAACATGAATCAGTCAAAATAATTATTCTGCTCTGTAGCTATGTATCCTTCGCATTGCGGTTAAATAATTTCACCGTTTGGCGAGTAAATTTAATTTGCTACCTTCAAATTGAACAAACTTTCAGAATAGGAGTTACTTTTGTTCGTGACAGTGTTTTTTCACAGCGAGCTATTCACATATAGCTGAGACGTCATCCGTGCGTGTTGGTATAGGTATC